CCATAGTGCGCTCTGTGCCCATATCAGACTCCGGAGGTTGGCCCACAAGAACCGGAAGCAGCTCTGCAACAGCAGTCTTAATAGCAGTTTTCATATCAGCATGAGTGTATAACGATAATTCCTTAGGACAAATGGGAGCTTGGCCTGAAACAACCACCATATTATGAGATCAGTTCTTCAAAGGTGGATCCAACCTCATATTCCACCATTGAAAGTACAAAGTTATGGGCGAGGTTTTAAGGCTACCACTGAGCTCTGATATTCCTTATAACGTCGTCATATACCCCTCCCAACAAGCTTTTCTAATTAACATTTGAAATGAGAAGTCACCACATGTGTTACCATAAAGCTTGGGTAAGTAAGCCAAGCTCATTGGACTTTTTCTCAAGCGCACAACTCAACATTCAGAAACATTAAAGGTTGTTCCGAAATAACATTATAGGTTTCAAGAAACAAAATAGTGAGATTCTCAATCCTATGTTGAAAATTGAAGTAGTTATTCCCATAAAAAATTTCCTTCAGAATATGCTTTCAAGTAAATTTTTCCATAAATTTTTCATATGTTACATGTGACCTATTTGATTTTGAATTATAAAACAAATGAAAAGAAAAAAAAAAAAAAAATATTCTAGAGAAAGCATCACTATAATACACTTTTAAACCCAAAACTTCTTTAACATTAAAAATAAGCCCTACTAACTATACCAATCAATTAACTTCTCCTAGTCACCCCATGTAGGAATATTTTACCTAGAAAAACTACTCCACTACACAGTAACAGGACCAAATTTCAGTGTCGCTCAACTTTCACTAATTAGAAGCTTTTCCCTAATGTCAAGTCATTCATGGAATATCAAAAGACCTATGCATTCGTATATAACCCAGCTTCAAAAACATAAAAGGAAAAAGAAAGGAAATTACTCACCGTCCGAAGCAAACCAATGATAAGAGGCAGAAGACGATCTCGAAAATTTGTGGTTTCTTCCTCATCCAACTTAACCTGCTAAAATACCCATTCTAGTTACCAGTTCCAATACATCATCAAACTTACAAGCCACTGTACTAATAAATAAAGAATTACATACAATAAAGTGTAACAGGCAACAAACTTTCAATGTGATTTAGCATCGCTCATGGAATTAAACCAATATTGTAGTCCAATTAATGTGGAAAACATTACAGATACCAAAACAGATACCAAAAAGCTACAAAACTCAGCTTTTAGGAAGAAAAAATGTTTTTGCTTTTTGGTATCTTGTTTTGGGCTTTCATCAGCTTTTAGGAAGCAAAAACAGATACCAAAAAGCAAGTAATAAAGGAAGCAACAAAACTCAGCTTTCATCAAAAAGCTACAAAAACTTTTTTTTTTCATTTTCAATAAATTGGTGTCTACTGTCTAGAACACCCAAAATTCTTCAAAATAAAATCAATTAAGAAATCCAACTACTTCAATATTCATCTGTGTCAAGTTTAAAGCAGATAATGAAGATCAACAAATGAAGAAAATCATATTTGCAAAGCTATTATGGTCAATTTGATGTCCTAGTAAGTTACGAGTATTGCATAAAATGTCCAATTCAAAAGACGCTTTCTATATCTTCAAGATTAATATTGAACAAAAGGTGAGTAAAATTAAGCAAATAATGCAGATGCTTTCCTTTAAGGCTGAGAAAAAATAGAGTCTATCACACCCCATTGGCTAAAGATGTAACAGCAAACAAAAGTATTCCATATCCAAACAAAGAAAAGAATGTAATTAAGCTTACTCCAACATCCTCTCCATTCAAGGAAATTGATGCCCTGGCTTTTGCTTTCAACAATATAACTGCATCTTTATCCCCAGCATCATGTATTGAAGCACGCATAAATTCTGCTGAAAGAATACTGCCAAAAGGAAGTACAGAATGCTGGTAATATTACAAACTAATGAATCATTTCAGAAGAAGAAATTTTGTGTGTAATATTTCATGTGTCATTAATGTCACCACTCTTTGGGGGGGGGGAATACCTGTTTATGGAATCTATAGAAGAAACTACATAATCTCGAAGGTGACGGAAGCAATGTAAACCTGTAAGTTCATCCCCATCCTATGAAAAGGCACAATTTCATAAGCTCGCAAAAACTTGAACACCAATCAACATATGGTTACTTAATGAAACTGCAAGACTACTTAATGAAACAATGTGGATATGGCAACAGTAAAAGAAAGAACAAAACCAGGAACTCTAGCTATAAAGTGGCAAAACTTTACAATTCGATTCAACAACTTAAGCCTATGAGGCAGACGAAGGAGCATAATTTTTTTCTTTCAAAAAACTGATAAAAAAAGAAGAAGAAGCTTTATCTCATGGATAGATGAATCTATACCAGTAAGTGTTGCAGATCATCAATAATATCCAAAGCCCCAGCACACTCTGCAGATGCAACGAGCTGCATATCCGATAAAACTAAATCAAATTCATATCAAAGCATTAACAAAGTAGCCTCTTCAATATATATATATATATATATATACACTATTTTTTTCCATTTCTGTTATTCTTGGTGATTAGACAAACAAAAAGAGAAAAGTGGAAAATTAAAAGCTGACCAATTTAAGAGCGGATAACGCTTGGTTAACAGATAGAATAAGCTTCAATTTATGTTGGAGAGCCAACAGATTGGTCCTATTGGCATTCAACTCCTGTGTCTGCCGAGTAGTGTCAACCAAATCAGAGTCAACCAACCGAATAGTTTCCTTCAAATCACGAATCCGGTTGCATCCTTCCACAATCTTAACATTCAAGTCCTCCAACTGCCCTTGCGCTTCGAAGAAAGAATTGGACCGCAACGAAATCTCCTTCACCAAATGGAGCTCCACAACGTCCAAGTAATGGGTCAATTTCTCCTGAAGCATAATGTTCTCAGAAACGTCGTTGAATGGGCAGGCTGCTCGGAAGGTAGCTCCATCTTCGAGAGTGAAATCCTCCTTAAAATAAAGGGCAGGTACCTCCCTTAAACAAGCTACGAGGGCTTCACCAATGTTATCGACATCGAATGTTTGCTCCTTGGTGGTGTGATTCCGAATGTCCTCGAATCGATGGTAAGAATCAGAGATGGAACTAACGTACGATTGGAAATCGGATCGGGCGATGTCAGACGTCGCTTTGTTGGACGTTAAGGGGGCGAATTCAGGCGGCGCAACCGACCACCAACCACCCCAAGAAGATTCCAATTTGCCAGCATGAGGGCTGTTGAGGACGGAAGAGAGCGTTTGGCCACCCGAATCGGCGACGGAAAATGAAGAGGTACGACCAACCGTCGACGACCTTCCCGATGGGGAAGGCTGTGAATCCATTTTCAAAATCTACAAATCATCAAACAAAGAAAATTTTGGGAAATTGAAAGCTAATTCTTTCAAATAATTTAAAAAGAAAAAGAATGCTTTAGAATGGATCTTGAAAGAATTTGTCGTAAGGAAATGTGAGTTTGTTTTTGTAATTAAGTGGAAATTTGGATCTGAAAAGAACGGGGGATTTGAAGCGCCATAGAAGAGAAAGATCTCGACTATGTTTGAGATCAGATCAAGATTCAAGATGGAGAAGATGGTACTGGGACTGGGACTGGGACTGGGACTGGGACTGGGCCTGGCCAATTGAAACAAAGCGGTGGCTGAAACCAGATCCCCTGAAGGATCGGGTCTCGCCCACACTTCTCTATCCGGCCCACCATTGTCAATTCTTTTTCATTTTTAAACTGTGGACTATTTTCCAAAAAATATGATATTTGACATGTGAATAGATCTTAGGTCATTACGATCACGATGTATAGAGTGTATCAACACAATCAAGATCATATTTATTGTATCAATAATGTTAATAAATTTTATAAAAATATTTTAGTAATCATTTTATCTTCGATTATCTTTCGACAATAAGAATAAAGAATAATTTATCTTCTCTTCTTTAACAAAAAAAAAATTTCTTTTTTCTTTCTTGATAAACTTTTAAAAAATATATCTATATTCATTCTTAAAATATTTATTATATCTAATTTTATACTTCGATTTGTTACTTCCATTCAAGTTAAAAGAGATCGCAACAACTACTATCACTACCATTAAATATCAACATTACCAGTTATAATAGAGTTTGAAGGGACAACTTAAAATTTATAAAATTTTAGAAGTTTAAATTAAAAAATTAAAAATTTTGAAGAGTACAATTTACATTTTTAAAAATATTAAGATCTAACTAAATTTTTTAAAACTTTGATAGGCTTAATGAGAATTTTTAAAAAAAATATGAGTGATTTAATTAAAATATTTAAATTTTATTTTATTTTATTAATTTATTGAATCTATATATTTAATTTGAATTCATATTTGTTCAAATTTAATAGGAATAAACAAACGGATCCAAATTTTAAAATAGATTTAGATACTATGGAAATTATAAATATGGGACCAATGCTATCTTAACGGCACCGAGGCTTGAGTGTGGCGGGTATGGTACATTAGCCAATAGACTAACAGGATGTCAAAGACATCCCTATCAAACTCCTAGCATAAGTGTAAACACACTTTCATCGACTACCAGATACAACAAATATGCATTCGACTCGAAAACCAGAAAAGATGTTAACTCACAGTCCGACCAAAGCAAAAGGGCATTCCATTCGCACCCAACAATGTCAAACACAATAAGATTACACAAAACAAGACTAAAAACATGACGTTAACACGACACGAACACACAAGCATATCAAAATCTTTGTAACACAAGTTATGGACTTGACAAAAGTTATATAAATATAAATATAAATCCATGAACATGGATTGCCAGACCATTAGCTAACTAAGTCTGTACAGCTATGGTAGAGAAACCTTAAAATAACACTTGTTAGAAGTAAAGTGCTAACCTGTGGTGCGTTTTAAAAGCTAGATGAATTCTTGTCAAAAGAATATCATCAAAATACCAACATATCTAAATAACTTCTCCTAATGATGCCGTCGTCACGTGCTAACTACCTTCTGAGTTTCTATACAAAGAGAATAACATAATCACCAGAGATAACAATGCCTCTTTCCAGGTCACCTGCGCAAAATCCTATTATTGATTGTGAAATTTTTGCATAAGCAATGATTCCTTCCCAAATGCTGAATACCTGAGAAGGTAGAAAACACGAGGAATGGAAAGAAGCAACCATTCATCTGCAAACAAAAATGAAACAAATAGGTTCAGAAAATTCCATGCTAGAACTAGGTGGCCTAAGCATGCTATGCTGTTTCTTGAACTACAATAATTTAGTTGGACTCAGTGTGGCTTGTGTCGGATACAGGGATATGCTCAATTTTTAAGCTTTCCCTTGTGCTTGGATGATATAGACTAGAAACAGGTGGCATGAGTTTGATGTTTCTTAAACAACAATAATTTAGTCAAACACGTATAAACACAATGTTAATAGGACTTGAGAACGACTTGAGATGTGTTAGACAAGAAAATGTTCAATTTCTAAGTTTTTCCATGTACTTGGAAGATCTTTGGAAAATCATAACCTCATACCAATATTTGGATATGCGTCGAAAACATGTACTTAAAAAAAGAGTCCAGGTAACATAACATTATACAACAGCTAATCACAGAAAAAATTCCAATTAGCTTTTGACGCAACTTTTTTTCTTATGGAGCATTAAGGTTATTAAAGCACTACCCAATGAAAGTATAAATCAACGTGGCTTCCTAGATTCTCCACTCAATTCTTTTCTAACAAGCTCCAGCATCTCCATAATCTGAAACAAGCAAAACAATATATTTAGAAACGCCAAAACATGTGGTAAAAAGAGACAGGAATACAGAAATTATGGGCACATCTAATCTTAGAGGATACACAGTAGGGAAACAATATTTGTATAATCATAGTACCATAGCTAATATTGATGCTACGTGACCTAGGGAAGGTTGCATAGACACGATAATTGGGCTCTTTCTAAGAAATATAAATGATATTTAAGTTCAGTAGAATGAAGAAACAACTTACTCCAGAATAATGTTTCAATACTGGGGAATAATGATTGAGCGCAATGTATATATTCTCGAGAAGCCCAAAAAGTATTTCCACCTCATCACCCAAGAGGTCGACCTACAATACAAGAGGAAAACACAATAACTAATGATACCCTACCGAATAGCAAAGCTTTATTACGACTGGAATCAATGATACAAAGATCTCTCCTTTGGTTCAAGTACATAAAATGTATACCGCTAAAGTAAAAATTTAAATGGAGGTACTTCATAAGTCAAATCAAAAGTCAGCATTTGTGTTGATGAAAGGCCTAGCAGTCAATTTATTGTATTTTCAATGGAAACTATCATGATTGAATTCTTCATCCGCTTTCTTTTTGCATTTTAGTGTTCAACACTCGTATGAGTACGAGGATACAGTTCTTTGAAAACCCTCGGAATATATGAGCAACTTACCAATTTCAGAGGCCCATAATTGCTTGGAACAGATAGCATAAGGTCCTCGTTCCAAATCGGATTCAAGCTGCTCGGTACAACGCCTGTTTGTATGGTCTAATAAGATCAAATACACAATGTTTGTTGTTAGTAAAATAGTAGCATTACACTCATGTTCAACACATGGATACGAGGAAATGATCTTCAGAATATACATGGATACATACATATATGTATTTGACACGCACATCCAAATCTGAGAAACAGATAAAATATAAGCGACGAACCTGTTGCCCGAGAGTCAAGACAACATAAGGATCACTTGTCTGTTGTGATATTTGGGTTAATTTCCACCAATAACAATTCACCTTCCAAACTATTATCTAGGTGACTAGTGTGAAAACGATTGTACTAAAAATCACCCCAAGGTAGATTCCCAGGAAAGAGGAGGGGTCACAATGGTCCCTCTTAAAACCCATTTTCCTTAGACAGAACTACCAAGACAAGTAATTTTAATAGGACAATAATTAACAACAACTATACCCGACAATAGCTATTAAATAGACATAAAAGAGAACACCAAAATATTTCACTAATAGAGGAAATATTACAAAGAGAGAAAGAATACAAATAGCCTTTAAAATAGAAGAAGGCTTATATTTGTGGGATGATTAACTAAGGAGGAGGAGGGCTTTATTTATAACAAAAGAATTTCCCCTCCTCCTTATACACAACCAATGTGGGACTTTTGCCAAAAACCAACAAATCTCCACCTTGGCAAATTCCACACACATCTCTAAAAAAACAATCTTTTAATTTGTAACAATATTGACAAAGTCTAAACAATGTTTAAACTTGACCGCAGTTACCACTTTTGTCAACATATCAGCAGGATTCTCAGTGGTCCGAATCTTCTGGATTATGACTCCACCTTCTTCTAGAATCTCTCGTACAAAGTGATATCGAACATCGATGTGCTTCGTCCTTGCATGGTAAACCTGGTTCTTTGCTAAATGAATAGCACTCTGACTGTCACAGTGCACTTTGATGTGCTTTTGTTCCATTCCCAATTCACCAAGCAACCCTTGAAGCCAAATTGCCTCCTTCACAGCCTCTGTAACTGCCATATACTCTGCCTCTGTAGTAGACAAAGCCACTATTGACTGTAAGGTGGACTTCCAACTGACTGGTGCCTTTGCAAATGTAAACACATAACCAGTAGTTGATCGACGCTTGTCCAAATCACCTGCATAGTCTGAATCACAATACCCAATTACACACTGACCATCTTGTTTGTCCTGCTGAAAGACCAAACCAACATCTACGATGTTCAGAATATACCGCAGAATCCATTTCACAGCTTGCCAATGCTCTTTTCCAGGATCATGCATATACCTGCTCACAACCCCAATTGCCTGTGAAATATCGGGTCTCGTACACACCATTGCATACATCAAGCTACCAACAGCACTTGCATACGGAACCTTTGACATGTATTCCCGTTCTGCATCATCCTTAGGTGACATGGATGCACCGAGCTTGAAATGAGGAGCAAGAGGTGTACTAACTGGTTTTGACATCTCATTTATGCCAAAACGTTTTAGTACCTTCCTCAGATATTCTTTCTGAGACAAACAAAGCCTCCCCAATTTCTTATCCCTTGATATCTCCATGCCTAGAATCTTCTTCGCTTCACCAAGATCCTTCATCTCAAACTCCCTGTTCAATTGAGTCTTTAGTTTCGCAATTTCTGTCTGACTCCTGGAAGCTATCAGCATATCATCAACATAAAGAAGAAGATATATATAGGATCCGTCTTCTAGCTCGCGTAAATACACACAATGATCATATTTGCTTCTTGTGTACTTCTGCCCTATCATAAACTTGTCAAATCGCTTGTACCACTGCCTTGGAGATTGCTTCAATCCGTACAGCGATTTTTCTAATTTGCACACCATCTCTTCTTTTTCAGCAACTTTGAATCCATCTGGCTGAGTCATGTAGATTTCCTCATCCAAGTCTCCATGTAAAAATGCAGTTTTTACATCCATCTGAACTAGTTCCAAATCCAATTGCGCTACCAAAGCCAACAAAATTCTGATGGAGGAATGTTTTACAACTGGAGAAAATACTTCATTATAATCAACTCTCTCCGTTTGAGCGTAGCCTTTAGCCACCAATCTTGTTTTGTAGCGGATGTTATTCTTGTCAGGAAATCCATCTTTCTTTGCATATACCCACTTGCACCCAATTGCCTTCTTTCTCTTCGGAAGACTAGCTAGTTTCCACGTCTGATTCTTTTGAAGGGATTGCATTTCTTCATTCATGGCGATCCTCCACTTTTTATGTTCTGAACTTTGAACTGCTTCATTAAAAGTGGCAGGAACTTCATCAATTGCAATCGGTGATACAAAAGAGACCATATCAGCATAACGAGCAGGTTGTCTAATGGTCCTCTTTCCCTTTCGGAGTGCAATTGATTCATGTTGCTGTGGAGGTTCTTGGGTCTAAACCTCTTCTTCATCTGACTCTTCTTCTACCATAGGAGAGTCAACATCAGTTTCTTTATTGGTTGGGACAAATTTGCTTCCTTCAAACTCCACCTGTTTGGGAGTTCCGTCTGTCTGCTCCAATTTTTCTGAAGTCACCTTTCTCAACATGGTAGATTCATCAAAGGTAACATCCCTGCTGAAGATTATTTTCTTTGTTTCTGGACACCAAAGACGACAGCCTTTCATACCAGAGGTGATCCCCATAAAGATCGCCTTCTTTGCTCTTGGATCCAGCTTTGACTCCTTAACATGGTAGTATGCAGTGGAACCAAACACATGTAAGGAATCATAATCTGTAGCAGGTACTCCAAACCATTTCTCTAATGGTGTTTTACCACCAATAGCAGTCAATGGTAAGCGGTTGACAAGGTGACAAGCATAGACCAAAGCCTCAACCCAAAATTCTTTGCCTAACCCAGCATTAGACAACATACACCGAACCTTCTCCACTAATGTTCGGTTCATACGCTCTGCCACCCCATTCTGTTGTGGTGTACCTCTGACAGTGAAGTGCCTAACATTGTCATCATATCCCGGATGGCTAAATTCGAGCCTCTCAACACTGTTACCTTCAACAAACCAATAAATTCCACCATGCCTTCCTGTTAACACGTCAAAGGGGTTCAAATTGATTAAATATAGCACAATATTGCCATTCAAATTTCTGTCGAGGTTCTTAAATTATAACCGAATCGAAATGGATTTAAGTTTAATAAACCAAAAAGTATCAATATGATTCGAATCAATTTTCAGGTTCCTGTTTTTTTTTCCAAGAAATCATTAGCGTCGTGATCTTTCTTTGGTTCCTGAGAAAATGAAGCAGATTGAAAGGCACAAAGATCAAATGAATTTACCTGTTCCAGCATTAATCGGAAACTATCCATAAACTTTGATGAAAAGATCGACTAAATGAAGAGGTAGAAGTACTCTTCCCCGAAGCAATCAGCAAGCTCGGTTTAGAAAATTCTTGATCTTCGTACTTGGACCTGAGAAGGATAAAAAAACAAGTAATTATAATAACAAAATGTACAAGATTTACAACACACATGTTCTATATTGTTCCAACTCTTAAAGTTTCTTTGTTTGACATGCACGGGTATAGAGTATGATCCTCCGAACAGAGCAGGACAAAGTCATATTTATGAAAAAGTTTTAACATACTTGATGAATTTATTCCTCTCCTCAATACTAGCATTTGGACCCGGCTTGGAATAACCTTCGGATATATGGGCCTCGTATATTGCATTAGCTGCGGAATGTCCTCCAACTTCGGCCACCGCATCAATTTGTTCAATCGTCCATTCATCCAATGCTACTGATAGAACCTGAAATCACCACAGAGGTAAACAAAGAGTCATGTTTTGTTGGCTTTTTCAGTTCTCAGTTTTGGCCAGATCGTCGGCTTTCCGGGTTTCACCCCCTGTTTCAGGCCTTTTATCTGTTCTTCTGACTGGTCCTACTCGGTTATTTAACAGCATAATATATACAGCAATAGTCAATAGATTAGATGTGGCCTAAAGTAGTCACATTGGAGACGTGCGTACCCAGGCTTTTGTGCAAGTCGCAACATTTCCCGAATATAAAGATTCCGAAATTTGTCGATCTGAAAAGTATAATCGGAATATTACTTTCTGAATCAACAAACAACTTTACATACAAGAAAATTATTGCTATAATGTTGTAATGCTAAAACTTACGCCCATTTCGGATCCGGAGCACTACAATCCGCACAAATTCGGTTATCGCTTTGGTTCAATAAGTTCCTCAATCTTCTATTATGGGCTGCAAAACCGACATTTTATACGAACTTCAGTACACAATTTACATTAAGAGGACATGCTTATGATTGATGATTTGGTTACTTCGGTTCAGATGAAGTGTGGAAAATGAACCGAAAATAAGACGCTTTTGAATATTTCAAAAAAAAAATGATTTTCTACTGAATTCGCTTTGCATGATGCACATCCAATATGTAAAACTTCCACAAATGAAATACTGTAAATTGCAAAACTTGTCATTTTACAAATTATTCGAATATCCGGAACACGGAGAACATGATTATGATCTATGATTTTGAGCTATGTTTCTCTGATTCAGGTATGAGTGTTGATCGAAGCATACCCGAGGAAACCTTTGTAAATTGAGCGCTCATCGCTTTGAAGCCAACACAAAATCATCCAACAAACAATGCTTGAGCAAAAACTGACAAAGATGAAGAAAAACAAACAAAATCCAATAAACATCAGTTAAATCAAAAGGCGCGTCGTCAACTAAATATTAAGATTAAATTCCTTTTCTGCTGTGTTTGTATG